CTGGAATACTTTTGCTGGATTTCATTGTAAGCAGCGACAATGTCACCGAACTGCATCTTGGATCCTTCTTGACTACGAAGGCGAGCAAGGACTGGGTCAAGGATGGTTCGCTTGAGTTCTTTGATAAGCTTAGTGCAAAACGTTTCGGTTTCTCTTCTGTTTTTGTCGAGCCATGATGTCAGGATGGAGTCTGTTTTATCCTGATGTAATTTTACGGTTTTTACAAATGGTTAGTTATGATTCAGATAGTTGGAAAGCGCTCCGTTACCTACCGTCAGTTCCTTCAAGTACTTGTCGACACTTTTGATCGAAAATGAGAAGGTCTCGTTGCGGAACATTTCAAGGCACTTTTGCATGGCGTCGTCATGCGCAGATCGTAACAAATCGGMTTCACAAGGAATTTTCTTTTCCACGAGTGACGTCATTTCCTGTTCATATGCCTTCACAGCATCAGCTAAGACCTCGCTGCATTTGGTTTGTACAAATGTGTCCCAGGCGTTTTGTACGTTGGGTACAGCACCAGGGGTGTTGAGTGCCTCTACGAACAGTTGGATCAGAGCTGCCAACGCTGAAAGATAACAATGATATAAGCAGAAATAAGGTTTAATTAAAAAAAAAACTATCAGAAACTCAAAACAGTTTCCGTTGACTTCCATGCACGCCCTTAAACTTATCCTCTTGTTCATCTGCTTATTTTTTGCTGCTTATTTTTCGTGATTTGTTTTCGTAAATCCCCCTTTACCTTCGCCAGTGACGAACTCTCCTTTGTTGATCGACTTCTTGGGTGACAGCTTCGAGTGAAGGACAGCTTTGAAGTCTTCGGTTTGCTTCAGGAATTCTGGGTTTACTTGAGACTTGACTTTCTCGTCGTTGAGATTTCTTACAACCTGGATTAATGGATGCAATCAGTGACTTCCTAATCCTTTCACTCACTCAGTCATCAACTCACTCACTGATTCGTTCAATCTTTCAATAGAACCAATGTTTTCATGAAGATGCCTATTTTTACCAGCTTACCTTTGGATCATAAGCTGGAGGAGGAAGTGAAAAGGCATCAAATCCAGAGAAATACTTCAAAATGCTCTCAGCGGTCTTCCTGGCTTTCTCGGTGTTCCCTTCAGCTTCGCAGTTGAGAACCTTGCGGAAACAACCAATTAAATGAAACTAATCATCGACCAACGACAACAATCTTTCATACTGTCATGTTTTTGGAACTTGTTTTAAAAGAAGGGAGAGGTTTCGGAAAACCAGTAACTCTGAATACTTTGCACATTATTGCTAAAAGTCGTTATAATGAGCTCTAGCAGTTGTTGTGGCATAACTGTGTAATATAATGCCGCATAAGTTTGATTGATTAGGACTGGTTCAGATTTTCGTCGATATATTTTGCCGCCTCTAATTCTTATTGCTTGAAGGTAGTTCACGAGAAGTTTTCGGTCAAAGTCAATTGGCTTTGGGTCAGCATACCTTAGCAAAATCTACCTGAATGTAAATGAATTCAGAGTACGAAATGTTCATAAACTCAACTCAAGCAATTTGATTCGTCGCAACAAAAGATCGACGTCTGAGCTGGGCCTTACATTTTTTATAAAGTAATCTTTGATCGTCTTGCATCCTGTAGGAAGATCAAGCACCACATCTCTCAACAGCCAGACAAAGTAAGGAAAGGCTTCATAGAAATGCTGGTCATCGGTGGGCTGCTGTTTGGTGTGCAGCTGTATGCGKTSGGACAATTTGACAATGAAGCTGAATTACAAGTTAAAGTGCAATAACATTGATCTCTAATGGCAAAGAAATGATATCAAACTTATGGAGAAGTATCACTGGCTTGTGATCGATTCATAAACAAAAGTGTTCTTTCAGGCAGTTTTCCTCTCTCAAGTGACTGGTCTTCCTGGACACAAAAGCTGAAGTACTTCCAGTTCTAATCAATGTTCTCAAGACGTTACTATCCTGCATAAAATGGTTTTGCGGAGCGTTGCTACGGTGCATTTTCAAAAGGTAATTTTAAAACTGTTACGCGAAAAAATAAATAAATAAAAAAAATCGTGAACTTATATCAAAGGATTTCGACGTAGGAGCGTTGCACTAGTGTCGGAAAGACCATACGTTCATTTCCATTGCTATGTCTGRTCGTTTCCATGCCAATTGTATAGTTACACTAGCTTACATTTAACACACATTAATTCTCTCTTTTAAAAGCCTCTAGACATGAAATTTTAAGGATACTCCAAGCCTTCAAGATCAGATCTGTTTGGCACACCAGCAGAGTTATAAATCATGATGGATGACAACAGAACTGACAAAGTGAAGATCCTGTGATCATCAGATTGTTTGCTGGAAACTGCATCGATGCCTTCAGAATCCATCAGAACTACTGTAAACTCTCTTCCTGTGCTGTCTTTGAATTTCTCTGGCACCACCCATAGCCATATTCCCATGGTTTCTGGATCGAGAAGATGACCCAATGGAAACACCTGTAAGTAAGAATCGAATCTAAACATTACAAGCTAAGGGAGGGGTGGGGAGATTGGAGGGCTTTATGGATTCGCTTGGAGATAAGGGCCTGGGAACGTGGTTGCCCAAATGCTCCTCACGTTTAAAAGACACTAAAAACACCGAGGCCCCTGGTATGAGGGACTGGCGTTAACTGAACAGG